CATTACGTTTTATTTTGAAATAATCCATCCACCCTCCCTGCTTCTTTCACTGGACCTAGTTACTAAAAATATGTGATTTTATAATTACTATATCACACATACTTTGGATTTGATCTGTATCCTGACTCAGGATTCATGTTGCACTTTCACCTCATCTCACTCTCCCCTTCCAAACATGTAAGAGAACACGTGGTGAACTTCAGTTGTCATTAAAACTCAAAAGGTTTTAATTTTTCCAGTTTGGATCACAGAAAAAAACATGGTGGCCTCCACAGAGAGGACCCCCCTGCATGTAAATATATATTTTTCCAAATACAAAGATCCATTCTATGATAAAGAAAACAACAATTCATACACTGAACCTTTAAGTCTATTCTATCCTTCTCTGTCTCACACTCACTTTGCACTCATAAAACCCACTTTCCCAATTCTTCTGTTTGGTTTATTGGTGAGTGGCAACCAATGTCACAGTGCATTACAGCCATATTGCTTTTTAATAAAGAAAACATTTGGATCAAAGCAACATATACAGCATGTGAAATCAAAGATGACTAGATTGAAGATTAAAGCAAAACAGACTACTGATAGACTTCTTGATGGGTTAGGGATTGCCAAAGTATCTGAAGTACAGCAGTAGAAATATATGAAATTGTGAACAGACAAAGCTAGAAAATGTTGACTCCTTCAGATATTACAAAGATTGCAAAGGCAATTGATACAGATTGCTGCTATGGATCTAGACAGCAGCTGGATTTTACGAAATTTTGTGCATTACTGAAGCCAATTTCTTTGAGTGACGATGAGATCAAGGTCCTCTACAAACAGATTGGCACAAGCCATGACCAAACCGTGGACAGTTATCAGGTGCTAAACTTTCTTGTGAATAGAAAACTAGCATATCAAAGATTGTATTTTGGAGCGCTCTTTCCTAAACCTTTCGAAATTGTACCGGTGGATCACTTCAAAAACATAGTTTGTGTGTTATTCCATCCCTTCGAGGATGAAAGCAATCACGATTATGATCAACAGGTTTCCACAGAACAGAACAGGGCTTTCAAGAAAGGTAAATACCTCTCAATTAGCTCAGATGGTGTCCTCAACTTGTGGACTGACAGGTTTGACAGCAAACAAACAATTCCTTTATGCAAAATGAAAAAGGAAACATGTCTTTTCTCGAACCACAAGAAAATGCGTGTTCAAGACATGGTCTACATCAAAGAACTCAAACAGTTGGCTATCTCCACAACTGACAGGGAAGTTTTGTTCTACGACTGTGATTGTAACTCAGATATCAACTCAGACCCTGTAATCAGTCACTCTCTAACAGTGGACAAAATAGTGAATGTCATGAGCTACTGGTCCAATGAAACAAAAGCAGTGTTTTCCTTTGGTGATACAGAAGGCTATTTGTTTGTGTTTATCTCCTACACGATACAGACAAATGGCTTTTTCTGCCAAGATTTGTTTAAAAAAACCTCTCTGCAGTATCCAAGTGCTCATGTTTCCTCCTTGTTGAACAAACCCTCTGATCACTTGTGTGTTAAAGTGCACAACTTTTATGATGCATGCAGTCAGATCCAATACTTTCCATTGCTTGACAAATTTGTCACCTTAAGTGGTTCCTCCAGGGTGATGGTCCTCACATCCCTCAACACCTCAAATGGTACCACAGTCTCACAAAGATTTGAAAGCAGAGGAGATCAAAAGTATTTTGTGTGCGCTGAACACGCCTCTTCATGTGGGTATATAGTGACTGGTGGTACTGATGGATTACTGCGGCTGTGGTTACCACACAGAAAGTTGTCCTGTGTGCGTTCACTAACAGGACATGTCAAACCCATCATTTACATTAAGTTTAATCCTAAGGACAGAGTAGTCCTAAGTTTGTCCGAGGACATGAATGTTCGTGTGTGGACAGAGAGCTGGCAGTGTATTCAAAGCTTCCAGGTTCATGGTATGGAACAAGCCCCAATGGCCAGTGCGTGTTATAACATACACAACAATGAGCTCATCCTGACTAACTCAGACATAAGAAAATGTCTTGGAAGAGGAACAGATGTTTATCAAAGCACATTAACGTCCCATAACATGCCCCTGTGCTCTGCACTCTATCACAGCCATTACAAACAAGTCATTTCTGTCTGCCAGAATGGGGTGGTGACAGTGTGGGATGTTTTAACAGGAAAGGCTGTGATGCAGTTTGATGTAACTCCACACAAACGTGAGGCAATCACTGCCATGTCATTTGATGAACCACAGGAGAGACTAGTCACGATTTCATGGGATGGGAAAGTGAGACTGTGGAACTTTAACAGTGGAATGGAGCTTGCCGTTCTCCCTGTGACTCTGCCAAACCAAGTGACGGGCATTGTTTGCACCAAAAACAGGATATTTGTGTCAACAAAGGACTCCAAGATAATTTATGACCTGGATTTGGTGGGAGACTACAACAGACTTTTGGAGCATCCATATTTAAGTGACATTTCCTCCATGGATAACCATGAAAACACACTGGTTGCTGCCTCCAACAATAAAAAAGTTGTTGTCTGGGATGCCAGCAGTGGCGAGACTCTCTACTGGCTTGATACCAGAACAAGCCCTCAAACTCACTTGGCATTTAAAAAAGCTCAAGGCCAGATCAGGAGTCTCAGAGAAGAGAATAAGAAGAAGCGAGGAGGTGTCATAGACACTGGATTAATTCATCCACAAATAAGATATACAAGTATGACAGGGGCAAAATCAGAAGTGGAAATCAATCATCT